ACGTTCTTTGTTCTTTGTTTCTTACCTGGAGGAAGTGATAGCGGGTGAGATCATTCACTTTATGACTCCACAGACTGATAACGCTTTTGATTCAGCTCAGCTCATTTATATTTCCCAGGGGCTAAAAATGCATCGGTGCTTAAAAGCAGCTTGCTCCTTTGGAGGTTATGAAGAGCTGGGGACCTCTAGCGGTTCTATTTAATAGTTCTTTTATTTGGCACTACAGAGCAAGGTGAAAGTATCTGGCCAGGTGGAAAAATGAAAAACAGAGAAACAAAATAGGCAGGCCCACCTTGAATAAAGTTACTGATGTTATGTACCTGACTGGACTAAGTACTGGTAGCCCTTGACTTACGACCTCCATTGAGCCCAAAATTTCTGTTGCTAAGCGAGACAGTTAAGTGAATTTGCCGATCTTTCCTTTTCGCAATCTTTCTTGCCACAGTTGTTAAATGAATCACTGCAGTTTTTTAAGTTAGTAACATGGCTGGCTAAGTGAATCTGGCTTTCCCATTTGACTTTGCTTGTCAGAAGGTCGCAAAAGGGGATCACATGACCCCATGCAACCGTCATAAATGTGAGTCAGTTGCCAAGCATCTGAATTTTGATCACATGACCGCGGGGATGCTGCAACGGTTGTGTGAAAAACTATTTTAAAAATAAGTCATTTTTTTTCAGTGCTGTTGTAACTTCAAATGGTCACTAAATGAACTGCTGTAAGTCGAGGACTAACTGTATTGTTTGCAGAGGATGATCAATTTAGAAAACTTCTGTAAACCCAGGACAGAATTTATTATTTGTCCCTTTTGAGGACCTGAGAGGATAAGTAAGTGGGGAACACAATACAAGTTTCTCGGGATAAAATGACAATCTATGCCACACCTACTAAGAAAGGACAGCCTTTATTTGCAGGAAAAGACCTCACCATGCAGAGAGATGTAAAAGATAGGAGATGCAGCAATTCTGCCAACTTTATTTTTGGAAAACACAGGCACATGAGATTCCCAAAAGCAGCCAGCCCAGTTTCTTCCCTCCCTGACTGTACACAAGAAGAGATGCCTGCCCACAAACCAGGAGCACTCAGGCCACAAAAGTGTACCACTCTTAGGGAGGGAGGGAGGGAGGGACAGAGAGAGAGAGAGAGAGAGAGAGAGAGAGAGAGAGAGAGAGAGAGAGAGAGAGAGAGAGGGAGAGAGAGGGAGATCAACAACAGAAAAAAGGGCAGCAAGAGTAAGTCTAGCCAAGATGGAATCTATTCAGAAGACCGTAATACCAGTTTTGATGTTGCAAGCCAAGCATAATGGTATCCAGAATGGGGGAAGGTTAGATTTACATTCTGATAAGCAGTTTAGGCCACAAAGTGACAATCAATCCAGCAATATCTGAATATATCCCATTGTTTTAGGCATGCCTGAAAATTGCTAAGTGTTTTGCGATAGTTCAAATTTAAACAAAATCTCAAAAAGGACAATCACTTGGTTATTTCACTCTTTACACACACACACCTCAATTATTTTAAGGAGCTAATAGGTATTGCCTTGTAGACTTGCATGAAATTGATTTCACCTAGTCTTCTGTCTTTAAGAGTGGCTAACCAGAATGAGTGTGTAAGCATAGGGAAATAGTTGGAGAGCAACTTCAACCTGCCATTTTCTGCATAGTGTAGTCTGTAAAGAATGGCATTAGTCATATCAGATCCCCTAGATTTATTTGTTGTTTGATGAGGACAAAAATCTCATTTTAACCAAGGAGACGAATACTGCTCTTTCTCCTCCAAACCTTACACTGATATAACAGAAGCATCAGATGTAAACATCTTCAGGGAATTTTACGAAGATGCATTTTTGGTAAGAAAAAGAACAATTTTAAGACTATTTTTTTTTACAATTAGATGCAAGGAAAATAAAATCAGCATAAACATATTCCTGCCATTTTCTTCCCCTGCTGCCAGCTGTTTCTTCTTGGCTATACATTACACTTAACAGGAGCAAATAATTTTATTTAGTACAAGAATCTTCTAGGTCTATTCACTCCAACTGCCTTTTGATGTATGAAGAGCAAAGCATTTATAAATCTCTAGACTTTTGCCTTTATCTTCAAGGCTGAACTGGCCTTGATGAGAAGAATTATCATCGCTAGCATTTTATTGATCCCCTCCCCAACATACCGAAAACCATTTAATAAACTTCTCATAGATGTTGCATCAAAGTAACCTTCCTTTCCATAGCATTTCATCATTGTCGGGTGTTCTACATTTGGCTAGACAAGGCAAAAGTTGGACCTGATAAAACAATGTGGTTCTGTCTTAACAAAATAACCTTGCATCACAGTACAGAAAATACAATTCAGAAAGAGATGGCATTTGGAAGTATAGGGGCCTCCACCACCCTAATTTAAGTATTATATGAAGTGAGCAGGGTTTTCAGATTTGCGGAAATGGCCTTTCTACTATAAAAACGCAATAGAGTGGAGTGGCACATGCTCTTCTCCACCAAGGGTTTAAGGGACAATGGACACCAGAACTGATGGTCGGGAGAGCCAATCAATGATCAGCACTGTTCCTGAATTCCCCCCACCCCCGAAACGTGGCCTAATCTATCTTTCTCCTATCAAGGATTTTGAAGACCCTAATAATTAAATCTGAAATTAACTTTACATCTACAAATACAGGGGTCTTCAAACTTGGCCCTTTTATGACTTGTGGACTTCAACTCCCAGAATTCCTCAGCCAGGCACATGTGCCTGGCTGAGGAATTCTGGGAGTTGAAGTCCACAAGTTATAAAAGGGCCACATTTGAAGACCCCTGTACAAATAGAAGGAGGGGGGAAAAGACATGCATTGATTGATATATACTTGATACCAAATCTATTAATCTCTTTCCCCTCCTGCCCCCCAAAATAGCCTTTAGGATCTCTTCCTGATATGAAATCTCTATCTCCAGTATTACGGGATTGAACCACCATATAAATCAAGGGACTGGATTGTTTTCATCAGTCCCAGTGGCCAAATAAATAAGGGGCAAAAAACACAGCACATTTCCAAAAAGTGTAAATTCAGGTTGTTGACTCCTCAGCCCCAAATTTAGAAATTACTCCCCATTAATAGAACTAGCTACTTAATATTCTCACAGGCTTTGGGAGATTACACGAGTCCAAAAAGGAAGTTCTATGACAAGTTCCACAAAATGGCCAAAGTGAGAGCCATTTCATACGCCATGAGAAAGACTCTGCATTTACACAGAACAAATTTTTTTTTCTGGTGCACAACTGCATACTTAAAAAACACCTAATAAACGTCATGATCAGGAATCTTAGTAAGTTATGTCTCTTCCGTGTTTCTTTAGAAAAGCCATTTCTCCCTCACATAACAGGACAGGAAATGAAGTCAAGGCAGAGCAAAAAGCAGCACTGCTGTACTCTGACACTGGAGTTCACAGTCATCCTGCTAATGGAAGACTACCTTCTTCCCTCAAGACTGATAGGGCCAAGAGGACCGCAATTTTTGTTGGCAGAAATCCTCACATGAACTAGCCACTACTTTTGCCAATGAAACTCTATGGACGCAGCAGACAGGTGACCTCTGCAAATATCATATTTACGACAGTGTTAGGTCAGAAGTCCTACTTGAGGTCTCATTCAAGCACAGAAACCATGGGCTCTATAATAAGTAGTGGCCTGAGTTTCAAGAGAAACATGCATTAGCTAACTAATCAAAACAAAATACTTCAAGAAGTTTTTCAGCTGCCTTATGGACACAAAAAGGTATTTACTTTTTAACTCGTACCGGTATCGGACAAGTTTGGAGGACAGTGAGGAAAAAGAGGAAAACACAAAGAGGTACCTCAACTAAATGAAGGAAAGGTGGCTTCAAACTAGAATCTAGTTGTTCCCTTGAGGGAAATGTTCATTCCCTTTTCCCTTAATATATTCATGGTGTGAATATATTGAAAGTCACTTTTGAGACCTAAAACCTTCCCTCTTCCCCATAAGGCACAGGACATCTAAGAGGAAACCATGATTTCCTCTTTATCCCTGAATTGCTGTTCCCTCTCTCTCTCCCCCCACACCATTTCACCTCTGATTAGCTATCTAGAGCCCCAAATTGCCCTTTCTTAGGACTTAGTAGCAAAATCTTCCAGATGCATGCTTTGGGGCCAAAGAAAGACCCTATGATGGATGGCCACTTCTGGGTTTGGTTTTCAGAACCTATAGGCCAGCCTCACTCAGAAGTAAGATTTAATCCGACTCATTTACTACTTCTGCACCCTGATATACTGGTAAACACTAAAGCTTCCCAGGCCAGCACCTGCTTGCTCAAGGCACTTTTCTTCTTTACTGCTGCTTAGCTCTTCCTGCATTTTATGGAAATGACCAAACCATGTAGCCTGTATCTTTTCAAGTATTTCAACCAAGTCCAAGCCTTTGCTGGATCCATACAGATCCATTGGGAACCTAGAGGCCGTAGCTTTGAAAATGACCACCTTTTGTGGCCATCTCTGCCCAATAGGAGGAGAGGATGAGGAAAAAGGGAATTCTGAGCCTGAGTGACCAGGACATTTAGTACACAGTAAACACATGCAGTTCTTTTGCAGCTTGTACCCTTTGATCACGAAGCCAAGACCACAAAACTCTTATTTGTGTGCATGTGAATCACTGGCCATAAAGTCACAAGCCAGGTGGTGGTACCGTATGTGGGTTTAAGGAATGGCCCCATATGCTTTCCAGGAACTATTCCCATCATTATTACTCACCTCAAAAGCCAGCATATAAAGCAAGAAAACAGCCTTTAGAAGGTGGCTGACCACTGCAGCAAACTAATAAATTAAAAAAAAAATTATATATCCTCAGGTAACAATGTGGAAAGAGCTTCTAAAGGGAATCAATCCCTTTCAAACAGCTCCCTCAGACCGAACCCCAATTTGGGGAAATAGTGGCCCACAATTAGTAAAACATCAATATTAAAAACGAGACAACTGCATTGTTTCAGTGGCTTAGAAAAATATTAAAGAGGCCTGTTCTTCCAAGGCAATTAATCCACTCTCAGCAGCAGCCTGAGGATGGGGGATGGGGAGAGCCCCCTTTGGCTTGTCCTACTTCTCAAGACTTCCAGAGAAAAGCCAATCCCAAGAGAGCTCTAAGTGTTCCTCTGCCCTCCTATCCTGCAGGCTATGAAGGCAATACGGTCAAACACTCCATGTTCTGCTTCATGTTTGCTCTGCTCCTGCTGCTATGGCTCCTACTGCCTCATCCTTGGCTGGGGGTTCCATGTAGATTGGTGTCACTGAAGAAGGTTTTTTGAATCTAGGAAAAAAAAGGAAATTGGCCTGGAATTACCAGTACAGAAAAGGAGGTGGAAACTTAGATTCAACAGGATGAGTAACAAAATATATAAAACTGTCTCGAGGGGCAAAGTATTACAGAATGTTCTAATCCGGTGCTTTTTAGGAGCACCAAGTCTCAACTTTAGAATTCTAAGATATCAGTCAATAACTGAGGTTGGGGAAAAATGCAAGCTGGATGAGTTGGATTGCAATACATCCATCTAACCTAAGTAGTGCTGTCTGATTTATACTAATCCTCCATAGTATCCAACTAAAGTATTATCCAGTGCTTTTACATGGAAACTGGATTTGGAATATTTTGTATGCAGAAAATGCAGAACATCTTTCAGCTTTTGCCCCTTCCTGCTTATCTTTTCATAGTTGTCCTATTCTGTGAAGATACACAATAGAACCTTTCATCATCCACTACTAAATAAACTATGTGTTTCCAGTAGATGCTTTCCTTTTGCTCCTGAGCTTTTATTAGGCTCTGTTATTCCCATCGAAATGACTCTTATAATCAGTTGTCTCTATGACCCTCTGATTCCCAGTTTAAATGTCTTCATATCTCTAGATCTTCTGAACCATCATGGGGAATTACAATTCACTGAAAAGCAAGGGTGCACAATTTATGCTGGCCCAAGGATCACATCTGGCTTTTAAACAATATAGCAATAGCAGTATCACTTATATACCACTTCATAGTGCTTTACAGCCCTCTCTAAGTGGTTTACAGTGTCAGCTTAGTGCCCCCAACAATCTGGGTCCTCATTTTACTGAACTTGGAAGGATGGAAGGCTGAGTCAACCTTGAGCCAGTGAAGACTGGGCAGTGTTTCCAAAAAGTAAAGGGTGGGACTTGGACAACAGTTGATTTTATTAAATATACATGTAAATGTAATTAAAATTATTTTAATATGATTGCTGTCCAGTTGTGAATTTAACAGTTTCTCCTTTCTGCATGTTAAAAGTTGCAATTTAAAAATTAAATCTGCATGTTAAAAATTGCAATTTGAAAGCCTTTGGAACTACATCTACAGATTACAAGGGCTTCTGTAGTCCCATTAGCGCTTCTTGCTTTAAAGTGCGACACAATGTCCATTTCACTGAAGAATTAAATAAGTACCAACTTGCAGCAGAGCTAAGCAATGGACAGATGCTAATTACCCATAACAGGAGATGTCTCCATGAGTCCCTTTGGGGAAAAAAAAACATTTGATCTGACATTTTATTTAAGAACAACATGTGTAACATCAAAAGAAAAGGTGCCTAACCAAATAATCTGGCCATAAAAGTCTGATAGGAAAAATACAAGTTTTATACAACAACTAAGTCTAGCTTGACCCACAAAGATGACTTACGAATATGGAGAGGCAGGGACTCCTACGACCAAGAAGTGGTTCTTTTTCCGAAAGAGACGCCATAGTCCTTTATGATTCCCCCGGACATCCAGATCCCAGATGTGGAGGCACTAAAAGAACAAGTTATAAGTGTCTGACAGCAAGACTGAATGAATCATATGACTAAAAATTCAAAATCTAAATCAGCTGAGTGCTTCTAAGGAGCTTTCAGTACTGGCTTGCAATATGGTACAGCCTAAATATGAGCAGGAATGCCTCTTCAACCTTATTCCAGGTTGGGCAAGGTGGAAATTAAACAGACTTTAATGGTGGGTTTTTTCTTCTTTTTATCCTGTTATATTTTTACCAATTATTAAACCAAATATTCCTACAAAATGAATTAAGTTTTGTACATGGCAATAGCTACTAGAATATTGTATACTTCCTTAATGGAAAGTACAAATAATTCCTTCCATAAAAGAATGGTAAATTAAGTTATGGGTGTATGAATCAATGTTAAAGCAAAGTTTCTTTTACAAAATAAATCTGATAGAAAATATAACTCAATGTGGGAGGTATTATTTGATTATAATTTTAGAAGCAGATTTGTACTACATCTCAAGTTCATTTTCTCCTAACACAAATTTTTAACATTTAGCATTTTTCCTTTTTTTATAATTTGCTAAAATTATTAAAATTTCTAAAACTTATTGCCTTTTAATTAGCTTATAATTTATAAGTTAAATCATATTGCTTAAAGCTGTTAATGACTATATGATACTTATATTGGATTATGTTAACACTTTTTTCAATTTTCAAATTGATATATTTTAATAAGTAGATTATCAATGTCATTTCAATGTTTTTCTTTCAATTTTACAGTTCTTAAAAACCTTGTCTTTATTTACACTTTCTTTCCTGTTTTCCTTGCTTCTGTTTCTGATTATATTTGTTAATTTTCTGTCTGTCTGTCTGTCTGTCTGTCTGTCTGTCTGTCTGTCTGTCTGTCTGTCTGTCTATCTATCTATCTATCATCAAATACCTTGGCAAGCTGAGTCCAAGTAGTGAAATCTGCCTCCTGCTCCATCTTTATGTACATCACGTAGGTTTTTCCTTCAGTGTCTGGGACAAAAGAATCCTCACAAGGATTTTTGGTATGATCTAGAACTTCAGCCTCACTGAAGAAGTGGGTGAAAATAAGACAAAATCAGAGAGGCAAGCAGATAGAAAAGTCCATAATATGAAGCAAGTGCCACATTAAAGATACTAAACTGGAACATACAATCCAAAAAATATTAACTGACTTTGACAGATAATAAAATGCCTTTCCTATTTCAAAATCAAAATATTTTTAAAAGGTATGCTAGTTGCCAAATTGGCCACAATGCTCTTCTGGATTCAGCTTTCAGGCATTTGCCAGCATTTCATAATTCCAGTCCTAACATTTTGCATACTAGATCAGGCCATATTCACCTCTCTATCAGTTTCAGAGATCCATTTTTTAACACATAAGGTACCTGAGCAGACGATGAAGTTCAATTTCATATGCATCTTTCTTTAAACTATACAATGGAAACAGAAATAAAAAGTCAGAACCGAAACTGAATTGCTTTATACTCAGTAGAGCAGCGGTTCCCAATCTTTGTGGCTTGGCGGCCCGGCAGGGGGGAAGCTGGAGGGGAACTGGGCCACTTGAGTGGCAGGCTGGTGCGTGCCGCACACTAGCGTGTGTGTACACTGGCCTGCTGTTCACACAAGGACTGTGTGCTTGCACATGCACCGGCTTACCGCTCGTGCGGCCCAATTCTGAACAAGTGACAGCCCAGTAGTGGGCTGAGGCCCAGGGATTGGGAAGCCCTGCTATGGAGAGATGGGACATTTTGCATACTCTAAGACTGTGTCATTAAAAGATGGTGGCAAAATGGCTGATTTGCAGCAGTGTGCTTTCTTCTCCCATCTCCACATCCCTTCCTGCCAAAATAAGCAGTGAAATCTTAAGTGCGCGGGGGGGGGGAGGTAAGAGGACTCCTCTTATTTCCATCCTTAGCTTCCCGCCGATACTCAAAATATAGCCTAAAATCATATTGCCAAGCTTCATCCATTTTGCTGCTGAAGTTCTACCAAATGATTTATCATCCAGAAGCTTCTACTTCCACTTTCAAAAAACTCCTCAGAAACAGAGAAAAAGGCAGAATCTACAGGCGTTGGTATTCGTGTGTGTGTGTGTGTGTGTGTGTGTATTTACACAGGGCTCAAATAATAATCCCAGGAAACGATTGCAGAGATAAACAAGCCCAGTAAGTGCTGCAGGTATTAAAGCAGGTACTGTTAATCCCAAAAGGTCCACCCCGTTCTTTTTTTTGTAAAGGCATTTTATAGACAGCGGGCTGTTGCTCAAATGTGATATACAATTTGAAGTGCTTTTTATTTATTTACTTAATGTATACTGAGTTTTCTGTAACGAAATGTTTCTCCCCCTGCAAATAATACACACGAAAGCCCCTACGAAGCCAAGCTGCACCAAACTAATTGCTCTTACATTTCTGCTCCTCTATTTTTATTCCATTCTTTCTTCTTGTTCCTTGTTCTCATGATATGGAACATTTGGATGTATATTTGTTTGAACCAAACTAGAAGCTGCCAAGGGGCAACCACTGAGTTATAATTTACAAGTCTACTCTTGGTGGGGCATTACTAAATAGTCTAAATATTAGTAAGGGAATCTAATTTCCATCCTGGGCAGGCTCTCCTGCCAAGAGTATTATATTAGGGTTGATTTTGACTTGCTCATGTTCCTCAAGCACTTTGATATGGCTACATTCATATTAGTGAGTTGCCTACACAGGAAAGCTTATGCTTAGGTCAGAAGGCATCCATGTCTCCTTACCTCTCCACATTCTTAAGCTGTACATTGGGGACTGTGTTGAACTTGTGCTTTTTGAAATAGGCTTCCTAGAAAAATATGAATGGGGGGAAAAAAGGCGGTTTTAAGCATCATTTACCCTAGCTTTCCACTTTTTCCTCTGAAGTACAGCAGGGAGAGTACCATGGCTACTGCATACAAACATTTGCAGGGAAAATATTTTGCATCATCGTCCAAAGAAGAACAACTGCAGCTAAACCATCTCATTTGTATCATAGATAAGCCTAAAAGCAAACATTGGGCAGAGCTGTGCTTGGTTGCTGAGTTTTGCTTATCAATGTTTGACTAAAAGGACAAATTGCAAACATTTTAAATAGGGACAATTTTAATGATTTTAATAAGACACAGCGACAAATATTTGTTTTTAATTGGTTTTTATTGGGGATAATGTTTTATACTGTTTTAATATGCTGTGAGCCGCCCTGAGTCCTGTGGGGAGAAGGGCGGCATATAAGTCCAATAAATGAATGAATGAATAAATGAATTTGGATTAGGGTGTAAATCAACTGAAGACAATATTGATTGCTTTCCTGGGTCAATTCATAGTTAGTCTAGTCCTCTAACCTAAGGCAGAAACTCAATTTTCTCTGAGTTCTCACAAGCAGAAGATGAAGATTTAAACTCTATTTTGCCCATCCAGAGAAGTTCAATTTACTTGTAATGGTCTTTGAATATTAATATAGGAGATTAGCATAGGCTATTAAAATATCAGCTTCTCCTCTTTCCAAAATTATGCTGCCATTGGTAGACATTGTTTGAAAGGTGAGGAAGCATGTCAAACTGAACAATCTAACTGTGCTTCTTCTCCAATTGAAACCTCTCAACACCTAAACAATTTATTGTGGGAATAAATAAGGATACGAACAGAAGCTACTATTTCTGCATTTAAATTAAGAAGGGTCACTCACGTGGAAGTAGCCATTCATGTTGAGGCCAACAATTCCAAAGTGATACGAGCGGGATACGTCTGGGATGAGGCATTCACGTCCTTTCCGCTGTTCTGGCATGCGCATCCACATGTCCCAGTCCCAAAGCTGAGAGAAGAAAGCAGACAAAATACAACACAGAGAAGAAGCCTTTTTCGGAGAGCAACTTATTTTGCTGCAGCCCCCATAAGCATTTGCACCGTTTAAAACCCTCTTGAAGTTTGAAGCAAAAGTTAATTTGGCCCCAGTTTCAGATGCAGGCTCTTATTATTTCTCAATTTTGAAAATGGAATGTATCCTGGCAGAGATTTCTGTTCCAATGCATACTTTATATACAAGCATAAAATCTGGACAAAATGGGAATACTTTTTGTTGTGTTTGATTTCAGTTATTTTCTTTGGCATTAGAAGTCAGGCCTTTTTAGAATTCCTGACCAATGCAATTATATAGCATTAGTTACGTATCTGTTAGTCCCATGGTGGCGAACCTATGGCACGGTTGCCACAGGTGGCACACAGAGCCCTCTCTGTGGGCACCCGAACCATCGCTCCAGTCCTAGACCTTCAGCTGAGTTTTATAAAACCTTTTCGCTTTAGGCCTCCACCGCTGTGTGCAAAAAAAAAAAAAAAAAAAAAGGTTCAATCAATCAATCAATCAATTTCAACTTCTTGCGGGAAAAAAAAAATCTCGCAAAGTTGGAATTGATTGATTGAACTTTTTAGTCTCACCCAGTCTGCCATTACCACCAAAGGCATGCACACCCAATGGGCCACGCCCACTCAACGGGCGACACCCACCCAATGGGCCAGGCCCACCCAGCATCTGATGATACATAAGTGGGGTTTGGGTTACAGTTTGGGCACTCGGTCTCTAAAAGGTTTGCCATCACTGTCTAGTCCAGTGTTTCTCAACCTTGACAATTTTAAGGCATGTGGACTTCAACTCCCAGAATTCCACAGCCAGCAATGCTGGCTGTGGAATTCTGGGAGTTGAAGTCCACATGCCTTAAAATTGTCAAGGTTGAGAAACACTGGTTAGTCACATAATGGTCCTTGATTTTTTTTAAAAAAATAGTCTGGGTATTATAGAGTTATAAAATGACAAGTTGCTGAGCTTACTACTTAAGTAAAACCTAAATGCTTTAAAAATGCATTTCTAATGCTCTTCTAATGCTTTCGTTGTTCTTTTATATCCCACATTTTTTAAAATGCCTGCGTGCTCACGATGTGATATTTAAATTGCACGAATAGCTGAGGATGGTGTGAAGTCGTTACAAAATACACACACACGTACATGGCCAAATATTATTTAATTGTGTTAATGGTTAGACCTGTATTAAGCATTCTCAATTGCTTTGCCAAGTCCAATCAATAAAATGGCTTCTAAGCAGACTGGTAGAGAGGGACACAGCAACAGTTTGCCGATGCTTGCCTTTATGAAGAGTTTCTTTAGGAAGAAGAAACTAAATTTGCCTTTCTCAACCCAGTTCCTCCAGATCTGTTCCTCTAAGCTTAGTGGTTGGAAAAAATTAGAAACGGAATTCAAAGTATTTGGAAGACATCAGATTAGAAGACGCTGGTACATTAGCTCACTATTATTATTAAAGCAGCAGGTCTTTTTAATAGCTATCATGAAGTCAGTTATTTTAATATAATATTTTATTCTGTTCTACTGAAAGCTTGATGTACCAACGTCTGAAACTTTTCCTCCTGGCTCTTTTTTGTTCAACTCTAGATGATTTGGGGGACGATTCACAACTGCTTAAAACCTTAAAGCTACATTTATGTGTATAAGCATAAAAAAAATTAAAGCCTTTCCAATGATAACTTTTCCTAATTATGGAAGCTTTTTGATTAGAGTGTTGGAGCTGGTTTCCTGAACCTGGATTGAACTTTAGATACCGTATATGGCAGTGGTGGCGAACCTATGGCACACGTGCCAGAGGCGGCACTCAGAGCCCTCTTTGTGGGCATGTGCGCCATGCCCCGGGCATGGCAACCATCCCTCTTCAACCAGCCGCCTGCTAACTCGCCGAGGTCCCACATGGCCGGATGCATCCCAGCACCCATGCGCTTGCTGGCCTCTGAGGTCCCACATGGCCGGGTGCATCCCAGCACCCATGCGCTTGCTGGCCTCTGTGTGCAGGGGCCGATGGTGTCGGGCAGCAGCTGCCCCAGCCCCTGCCTCACCTTGCCCTGTGTCAATGGCACCCCTGCCCTGCCTCACCTTGCCTCCTCATCCCGCAAGATGAGCCTCCTGCCCACCACCCCACCTGCCAGAGACCCCCTGGATGTCCCCCAACCCTGCCCGGCCCCCACAGATGTCCCTCCCCATGAGCAACATCGAGGTGATCAAGCCGACCTTGGCCACACCCACCCAATCTGCCATGACCACCACAGCCACGCCCATCCAGTGGGCCACGCCCACCTGGCACCTGGAGATAAATAAGTGGGTTTTGGGTTGCAATTTGGGCACTCGGTCTCTAAAAGGTTCATCATCACTGGTATATGGAATTCATCTTCTAGATATTTCTCAGCCAACGGGTCTTTAGCAATAATACTGAGTTTACTTATTTGGAAATTGTAATGGTTAAGAAAGAGTATAGCTAGATGGCCCCATAATTCCAATGATGCAAGAAAAGCTACCATTAACTCATTATGAGTACCAGATGGTAGTAAGACAAAACTTCCCATCAACCTAAACACACACACACACACACACACACACACACACAAAGTCTTAAATCAGTAAGGAAAAACAACCTGAAAAATCAGACTGACCTTTTCTGGTGTTGGCCACTTGGGCTCCAATTCATCCTTATACAGAGTCTTTCTTAGCACCCAGCCCAGGCCTGGCATGGTCTCTACACGATAGAGAAGTGAAGGGTCTTCAGCGGTATGTTCATACCCCTAATGACCCAAAGAGAAAGATTTAGGAAATCTTCACCGGCAGGAAACTCATCACACAATCCTTCATCCAAGTTTGGGGGAACGAGGTAAAATGTGATAAGAGTTCAGGGGAAGAAATAATTCACCTGGTCATTCCATGCAGAGATGCAATACAAGCTGTCATCTTCTTCCAGCAAATAGATAGACTGGCTTAGAAAGCTAAGAAAATGGAGAAGAATGTCAAAGAACAAGCCAACACTGATTTGATTTATGAGAGCAATGCTGTGAATTGCTTAAGATTGGGGCATTATTTTGAAAATGAGACTGCTTGGAACAAAGTCAATGAAGCGCTAGCGAAACTAACGACATGAATGAGTTACATGCGCTACATATGCCCTCACTTTGGGTATAAGAATTGGAAAATGAGATACTGAACAAGCTTCAAACGTATGCAGATATTTTGCCTAAGATCTACAGACTCATTTTGTGTTCAAATGCTAATCCATACTTCTCAGTTTAAAGACTTTTTCTGTGTCATCTTGCATACTGACTGTGACCCAAGTTATCTTCCCTGACCTTCAGAATTTCTTCTGATGGGCTTGATGAAGGAACTATTATCCTACAGTATTTTCCTTGCAATGGGGTTATATTTTCATTGTCAACGGCAATACATTCATTTAAAACTGGCCAGCCACACTGACAGAAGAACCCAGCTGTTATTCTTTGCTGGCAAAACAAAATAGGACCAAGGTAGAAAATGAATTCAATTAATACCTGAAGAAATCAATGGAAATGTCCAAGTCTTCTTCCAATACCACAGCAAACTTTGCATCCTATAAAACAATCAGAATAGAAGGAAACCTACAGTGTTTCAAAACTATATACACATTTTCACTCAATGGAAAAATTCCTGGGAAGCTGACAATCCAGCAATGAATATAAGGACCTTCCTTTTTCGGCACCACTTAAATAATCAAAAAACGTATTTCTAAAAAGCATGGCATTATGCATAGGTGCCATCATCGGTTATGTTTAAGAAAAAGAGCCTCTGCAACTTCAAGGTTTACAATAGGTGCTTGTTATTATAACCCCTTCAATTAATGTTACATAGTTCTCAATAATTACATGGAAGAGCACATTCCAAAACAGAATTTTCCCAAATGAAAAGATCTCTCTACACTGGCAAAGAAAGAAGAGCTAACCAAACCTACCGGATGCAAGTTGAATGTTGCAGTCAAACTGGCCTTGTAGTGCTGTATGGGGACAAAAGGAGGAGTAAGAATGAGGATGTTTCTCAAAGTCTGTTCATTCTTATCAATATGTTAATACCAACAGAATCATTACTGAAAAGCTACTTTTCAGAACAGTCAGACCAACCATCTTTATCTCTAGGCCTCGTTTGTGCCTCAAAGCAGAATGATACATACCTCACATTTTTAATCATATAAGGCTGACAAATTCAAGCCCAGGCTTGATGGAGAGCCAAGGCTTGCAGGTTTTGTTTTTTTTTGTAATGTTTTATTGATTTTCTAATTTTACATTTAAGTATTTAAAAAGCAACGTGGCGGCTGGGTTAATTGAAAATTCAATGACATACAAGCATCTTTAGTACAAGACTCAAACTACCACATTAAATATTTCCTCTCTTTTCCCCTTAGTATTTACTGTCTCCTGTTTAAACTAATACAATTCTTATTATATCAATTAAATAAAAATAACATTCTTACATCTATCAATAATTAGCGTATACACATCCTGGTTATTTTAACATTCAGTCTTTATAGACAATCAATGTCCTAATTAGTTTTTCCCAATTTTTAGTTTCCCATTAATATTTCAGCCAAGGCTTGTGCTTGAGCTCATCCACCACAAATCAGTCTGGAGGATAACATATACACAATAGGATTTCTAACGGAGTTCATGGTTTAATGCAGGGGTGTCAAACTTGCAACGTCACGTGGCATGTCTCGACGTATCGCAACTTTTTTTGCCATTGCCGGCAATGGGGTGGGCGCAGTTTCAGCATGATGCATCCGGCCCGTGGACCGGCAGTTTGACACCCCTGGTTTAATGGAAGCAGCCGCCAAGGCAACAAAATCAGCCACTCACCTGAGAGACTCTTGCATTTTTAATGCTGATGGGTGTGTGTTGGATTCCCTTCAGGCCAAATAATTCAACCACATCCATTGGCTCCTGGAAAAGAAAGGAAATTTGTGAGGTACAGGTTTTCTGAATTGCGCTCATTATTATCATCTTGATATGAATTCTTCCCACTTTAGATGTTTCTGGGATAGGGCAAGATAATTTCTAGAATAGGGATAGACAACCTGTGGCCTCTAGATTTTTCATTATAGTTCTCAGTGTGTTCTGTAACCATTAATGCTTAATAATAATAATAATAATTTATCACTATTTTGAGGCAGGAAATACATGCAACTTGCAGTGAAAGCTGTACACAGTTCTTAATTTTGTATCAGTGTTCTGCCCACTATGATCCTCAGGCTTTCAAAATGTGTTGCGTTCTGACACTACCTACAGTTGTCATATATCTTAGAACTTCACCCTTCAGATCCTCAATCTAAGATGCATAACTTCAGGTACCTAATGAAAATTACTGTCTGCTTCTAAAAAAATAATAATTACCATCCAAATTCCTATACATAAAGTTACTTATCTTTTTAAAACAGCACATTCGCATATATTATTGTAGTCATAATATATCTGATGATATGCTTTTTCAATGCCAAACACTGAAGGCTCTTTATTTGCACATGGAATAAAAGTTGTTCATTTTGTTCAAAGATAGAAGTGGATCAGAATATATATTCCATTTGCATTCTATTAAATAGTTACATCACAGTTTCAGAGTTAGTAGTCTATGTTATAGGGATAGCCAGTGGCAGACACTTGGCTGAGCAAAGCCCCTTAAATAATCTTTGAAAAAAGGACATAGTTTTGTGTCACTATAAATACAATTTACAATTAAACATCTCTGTAGTTAGATGGTATCAACCTTATCATAGATCTGGTCAATTGCTGAGGGATCTAGTTTGTTAAGATGGACTTCTCGCTCAAACTGATTTCTGAAATCTACAGGGATCCCAAGACTTTGTATCTAGAAGTTTCTTACCTATAAAAAATAATCCATTTATTTTCTCATACATGCATAAGCATAAAACTGAATCCTTCTGTGCCTGAAAGTCTTGCTTTCATGCTGTCCTTCTCTAGCCAGATGACACAGTTGCTGTGGCAATAAAACAAATCTGCAAAGGAGTATCTACCGTGTGAATAGAGGTATTTCTTTTCAGGAAGAAAAACAGCTTTGCTTTATGGACCAACAAACCTAAGTCCGAGTTGAAGCATACCAGTTAGGAAATACAGGTAGTCCTCGACTTACAACAGTTCATTTAGTGACTGTTCAAAGTCTACAATGCCACTGAAAAAAGTGACTTCTGTTTTTCACAGTTACAAACGTTGAAGCATCCCCATGATCATGTGATCAAAATTCCGATGCCTGGCAACTGGTTTATACTTATGACTGTTGCTGTGTCCAAAGGTCATGTGAATGCCTTTTGCAACCTTCTGACAAGCAAAGTCAATGGGGGAAGCCAGTTTCCCTTAGCAACCAGGTTACTAACTTATCAACTGCAGTGATTCACTTAACAACTATGGCAAAAAAGGTTGTAAAATGGGGAAAACTCACTTAACAAACATCTCACTTAACAACAGAAATTTTGGGCTCAATTGTGGTCGTAGGTTGAGGACTACCTGTAGTATTACTGCCCCCAGAACAAATTTCATGACAAAATACAAAAGAAAGTAGTAGTATTAATAATATAAGGCACGAATCAAACAAAATCTCTTCAGTGTTTTTAGGCAAAATATATTTGCAAGGCTCAGCTAAAGATGGTTCTCTTAAGGTTCCCATCTCACACAGTGCTTATAAGGTGAAAGGCGATTAGTGATGAAAGGCAGAATGTATACCCTCTGGTCCTCTGCAGGCTCTGCATTTATCTAAAGAGCCTTTTCAAAAGTTCTCAGTGAAGTGTAATTGTTCATAAAGAGAATATAGTAGGGGAGCAATTTTAATTTGAATTAAATTTGAAAATTAAGATTTGTCCTGGACTCACTGTTTGGTGTTCAGAATATCACCCAAAGGCCCAGTGCTGTAACTGGACCCCCTAAAGTTGCACACCTTCAAAGTAGCAGATCCACCCCTCCTGATGACTTACCTCGTAATATCCATCAATAAAAACTGTTATCATTTGAGGATTGACCCCTTGTGCTGACAGCAGAGATCGTAGCATCCTAAAAAGAGAAGGGTTAACATATTTGCTGTGATTCCCAGAAAGCCTTTTAATGTATTAATAGAATATATGTCCACTTTTCATATAGAAGCTTGAATCTAATCTAATATTAATGATATAAACTTGACTAACATTTGTTCACTTTAATCCCAAATTATGTATTCTATGCCAATCAGAGTTGACTACCTAGTCCTAGAACATGAATTTTGTTTACAATAAACAAAGGATGAGATTTGCAGGATCTCAGATTTACACTTTTGTTTTATTATAGGTGAAATCTTACAGTTGACTCTGTGTATGACAACTGTGTGCTTTCCTTTTCCCTTCCTTGCTGGATAGAGGACTTTCTTTGCTCAGAGGGACAAAATCAAGAAAACTTGACCACATCATTTGGGAACTGGAGATTATGTTCCAATAGAAACTGGGCAAGCAAGAAATATATGAATTCTCCATTTGACGTTCCATAGCAATCACTTTGTTCCTACTAACTGTCTCTCACCTGTACAGGTAGTTGGGTCTGTTCCCTGCAATGACAGCAACAGGTACATCAAAAACTGTGTTGTCTTTGAGCTAAAAAAAAGGAACACCAGAAATAGAAATTTAAGATAGCCAACACCTCTTTTTTTCCCCAGTGCGCCTTTTATTTTTCTCTTCTTACACCTGAACATTTAAGGTAGTGTTTCCTGAGGATATGTAGTCTTCAACTCTCAGAATGGATGGCTGGGGAAATCAGGCAACTAAGGTCCATGCATCTTCAAGTTACCAAGATTGAGAAACACTGATTTAAGGGGAACGCTGGGAACAGCTAAGTTCCATATAAGCAATTTTTCCTTGCCCATAGTCTCAGACTTAGATTATGAACTGAAACCAATATTGTCTGACCACTTCCAGAATTAGGATTGTATAAGTAGGTTTTAAAGTGTACTACTTATATGTTGCAGAATTCAGAAAAGATTCCCAGTAGTATTTATATTTGTCTCATGTATCTCAAATTCAGAGAAGTAGGCAGTTGGCAAAGAAAGAAGCAGATTGGAAATAAAGTAAAAGACAAAAAAGATATGAAGAACAAATATAAAAATCAGATGAACATAAAAGATCTTTTAAAAAAAAATCTAACTCCCAGCTACATAGTCTGGTAAACTTTATTGCCAGATCTATCTATCTAATCTATCTATCTATCTATCTATCTATCTATCTATCTGTCTGTCTGTCTGTCTGTCTGTCTGTCTGTCTGTCTGTCTGTCTGTCTGTCTATCTGTCTATCTATCTATCTATCTATCAATCATCTATCTATCTATCTATCTATCTATCTATCTAATCTATCTATCTATCTATCTATCAATCATCTATCTATCTATTTCATATTAATCATTTGATGGGTCAGTTAAATCTATGTAATTAGATAGAAATTTTGTTTCTAGCAAGAGTTGGTGAAGGAGAAGGGGCATTATTGTACTTACTGGATCAGGATTGAACTCTATAGGTGTAGGATCTTTACAGCTGCACACACTTCCATAACCTTCAACTTTGCTGCAAAAACGCTTCCGCCGCCGATTCAACTCAGTATCTGGCCAATGGCATTCTGCATCTGTGGAATACGTCATATGTATGCATACGATTAGCTTGACATATACAAGAACTTTGAAACAGATAAGTCTTTTATCAATTTACGTTCTGCTACAGTCAGCTCAGAACATTCTTAGGATGTTTCAATCTCTGAAGCCCATAAGCAACAAGCCATCACTAATGATCAAAATTATGAATGAAAATTCAAAACATCTGTATGGCAAACAATGCCTGGCTGCCAAACAGAAAATGATCTTTTTTTAAAAAAAAAAAACCTCTCTTCTGAATATGTAATAAAAAAAATAAGATCTTGCCTTCAGGGTAGCTTTTAATTTCATTGGACTTGCTTCAGGAGAAACCAAAGAGAACAGCACCGTAAGTCAGTGTAATAGCAGCTGCCAATTTCTGAACCTATCTCTAGTCCAGCCTATCATTTTGGGTTTCGGTAGAAAATCAGATGAGAAAATCTAAAATAACATACAGATAGTTCTTGACTCACAACCACAATTGGGATCAGAACATCTGTCACTAAGTCAGATCATTATTAAATGAATCATGCCTGATTTTATATATATATAAAGTACTTGACAATTATACACAAAGTACTTGACAATTATTATCCCACTTCAGCAGAAACTTTACTAGTCTTCTTCCTCAATTCTTTACCTCAAACAGGTTCCTGGTTTCCTAGCTTTAAAGCTATTCCAAGATTTGCTGGATTATCCAGCCTTGTCTCTATTACGCCTTCTTGGGAATGAATATCATACCTTCCACAGAGGTTAATTGGACTTCGGTTTTTAACAAGACTGGCTCTCCCCAGGAGGAAAGCAGTGGGGACTTGGCATGTTTCTCACCATAGACTTCACCTACAGAGAACACAACACATGATGGTCAATAGGCAGCCAATAACCACTCACTACCTGGGCTTGTCCACTGTTAGATCCCTGATGTAGCAATCAGTCAGTAATCTTACTTTTTCGCTAGGCTCCTTTGCACATTTTTTTTTATAGTGCAAAAGAAAGATTAACAAAATATCCCTCTATGGTACTCAGAGTAGGAGGTGATAGAGACACCCTCACCTGTTGTAGAAGAGGGAAAATTGGTTTAGGTATGAAAAATTACAGTTGCCTATGCCCAACTCCCCCATATTATTAACAGAAAAAGTCCTCAGCTTCTCATGCTCCAATTTAGTGGGTCTGAGAAGTTCCAATATCATAAATAGATGAAAAACAAGAATCCAGAGCAAAACCAAACATTTGCCTGATTAACATTATTCTTCTCCTTGAAAAAGTTACAACCCACCAGGAGCCCTCTCCTGCGTCCCTTTCTCCCCGGGGAGATTTCTGCCCAAGCTTGATCCTGACCTCCTTTCTTCCCCACAAATGTCCACATGTCCCTCCAGCTGAGAGAAGCTGCAATCTGGCTTCCTAAACTCTTCAGAAGACTCTTGGCTGTGTCTTTAAGGTGGAAGGAGCCCTCATCCTGAAAAGGAAGAAATCCCACAATATTAATCCAGATATGTGATTTATATATCCTTTGAGCGTAAAGAATCTTTGGATGCTGTTCGATTCTTTTAAGCTAAAGCTTCATTTTTTGTAAAATAAATAAATAAATAACCTGTAATAAGATGTCATAATAAAACTTGGTTTTTTTACTTTTCTAGTGTGTCATATAATTTAAGAGTAAATTTTCAGATACAATCCATAAAATTATTGTATAACAGTAGTGCAATCACCTTTTCTTCTTTGTCAAAGTGTTTTTAGCTTCATTAGACTATTTTCAAGTTAAAATAGAAATTTAATTTCTGTTAGGCGTCAGTTACCAGAATGAAAGAAAGAAAAAGTTACAATACCAATTTCAACTTACCTTAATTGTGAAGATAAGGATGCGACCCTTGGCTATCATGTTGAGGAAGAGGACCATGGCCTCATCTTCATGGGGAGAATAGGTGTCAAAAACCCGCTTTGCCATCACATGGCCCTACAAAACAAACCATAAATTGTGTTAGATCGCTTCTTCTCAAATTGTGACCTTCCAAATATATTGGGATCACAACTCTTTTTTCTTTTTTTTTGGAACTTCAGTTGAGACACTGATATACAGCAGGTCAGCTACTGGGAAGGATACATCCCAGATTTTGTTTAAATATAAGGACAAACTTCCTGATTTGTACAACAATGTAATGGTCTACCTACGGAGGTTGGGGACTTTCTATTGATGGAGATTTTTAAGAAGAGACTGAGCAGTTACCTGTCGTGGATGGTTTAATTGGCTTTCCTGCTAACTGCAAATATTCTGACTAGATGATCCTTATGGCCCCTTCCAACTCTTTATCATTCTTATGTCCGCAACAGAGGAAATATTTTAAAAACATCTGGCAGTTTTTTTCCAAATTAATCCAATTAAGGAAATATCTCTGCCCTCTCCTCCCCATTATAACACTGTATCTTAGCATGTATTACCCCAATTCATTTTCTTAAAGAAAAGAATACGGAACATCTGTCACATTCAGGCAGCTGTGGAGAGCTGAATGCCAGGGAAGGTCCACTGGGTATAAAAGCAGGTCTTCCCAGCCATGCATCTTACAGGCTTATGGAGAAAGAAGGGAGGAAGCTGGCATTTAGAAATTCCTCCCCCCCCCCCCATAAAGGAACTTACTGGAAATACAGAATGGTGAAGCACCTTTTTACTATAGCCAGTTGGGGAGTGAAGTCACCCATGGTAAGCTCACTGAATTGGATGAAGGATAGCACACAAGTAGTCCTTGACATACGACCATAATTGAGCCTGCAATTATGGTTTTATGTTACACCAGTAATTAAGTAGGTCACACCTGATTTTACCTTTTTTGCATTGGTTGTTAAATGAACCAACACCCTAAATCGTGGTCACGTGAACGCAGGACACTGTAAAAAGCCATAAATGCAGGCCAGTTGCCGAGTGTCCAAAATGTGGTCACATGATGGCAGGGAGGCACAATCCAGTTCATAAGTCCCCCTTTTTTGGGGGGGGAGGGTCCATCATAACTTCAAATGGTTTCTAAGCAACTGGGCTTAAGTCAAGGATTGCCTTTATTACCAAGAATTCCTTTTACACTTAGTATTAGTTTTGGGGAGCACAGGCCTGACATAGTTCTAGAGGTCTAGAAACTTGCCAAAACCTTCAGTGGAGTTTAAAAGACTTTTCTGCAACTCTGACCAAAACCCCAGAACTCTGAGGAAAAAAATCTATTCCAAAATACAGCTTTTTTGGACTTCAGTGATGACTGAAGATTAGAAACTCCACACTGCCTTTGCCTTTTTGTCAGGAAAAAGGAGCACATTGGCCTCATTTAGGTCACATTATGTTCTTCATCACTTACTGTAGCCTGATTTAATACAATGACATGGATGCCTCTGCCTTGTTCCCGGGCTTCATCTTCTAAAACCTGTACAGTAACAAAAGCAATTGTTATCAAACTATCCTTTTCACACTTGTTATCCTTGTCAGTCCTCCCCTGTTTCTTGAACATCATTTTCTTCTAGAAATTTTCTTCAGTGATGTTTGTAACCCAGAATCCCTCTGAACTAGCTTTTGCAACTTAGTTGTGCTCTTTACTCAGAACATAATCCAGCATGTTGGAAAGAGTTATAGTCAGCTTTTATACTAAGAACTTGGAAGAGGAGATATGAAAGCATTATAAGGTGAAAGCAGCTCATGAAATTGTTTCATGATATGCATATGTGTGGGGATGCAAACACGTAGGGAAAACACAGCATAACTTTCCTGGATTCCTTACAAAACCACTACTCTTGTAAACTGCAAACAGAACACAAAATGTGCTCACTTTTCTATTAATAAACGGACTGCTTTTTAAAAAAAAAATAGTATTGTTCCTCCATCATGAATGCATTACCTAGAAATTTTATTAAAAAATAAAAAGCCATCCAAAGACACAAAATGAGTATTGTATACTCATATTTTAAAGTTACAGTTCTAAATATGCTTGCTGGCCTAACAGGATGCAGTAAAACTGAAGCCTGAATACACCCACACCCACACCCAAACCCACAGTCAAAATAATGCAGGAAGAGACTCCAGTTCAAGAGGCACTGTGCTCTCCTTCATAGTAAACTATGTTAGAATGTATTATTGCCCTGATTCTTGCATCTTACAGCTGCAGTGCAGATTCTCACCGTGGTCCCATCAACTGCAACATAAACCTTGGAGCGACTGGAATAGACCTCAATGTCCAGAACTTTTCTGCTACTCACAGGCCGCCGAGGAATCTCTAGCTTCTGCAAACCTTCATCTAGGAAATGAGAGAGCCCCATATTTTAGATTCTTATGGCCATACGTTTAATGCTCTTATCCTGTGGCAATCTCCCCATACATTATGAACATTCTGAAAGGCCTTCTGTATAGCGCAGGGGTCCTCAACCTTGGCAACTTTAAGACTTGTGGACCAACTCCCAGAATTTGCTGGCTGAGGAATTCTGGGAGTTGAAGTCCACAAGTCTTAAAGTTGCCAAGGTTGAGGACCCCTGGTATAGCGTATATGTCCTCATTTAGCAACTACCTCTGATAGCGATCATTCACTGTTATGACAGTAATGAAAAAAATAACTTTGTGACCCTTTCTCACATTTACAACCTTCTCAGGTTTGTAAAACAAAGGAAAGCTGATATAAGATTGTAAGCATAGTTGGGATGTCACTTAGTGACTGCTTTGCTTAACAACCGAGTTGCCAGTCCCAAATATGGTCGCCCAACGAGGACTAGCTGTATACCAACAGGTTTGATAAGATTTATTCATGAAAGCCCAGATAGAACATTTGATGTGGAGGCATGTAGAATTATCTCCCAAAGGACATCATGTTGTCTATATAAAAAGAAAACTAACATTTTCCTTCCACTTAGCTTTTAACAGTCTGCAACATAAGATTAAAGACTTCAACTGAGTGTTATTTGATTTTAAAATTCTAGTTTAATGGTTACCTGGTTAAACTAGTTTTGATTACTCAGTTTTCATTTGTAAATACAAGATATCCAATTTTCCGGTTCTTCTTTCCTTTGACACTTAAATCAATATTCTCCTAGCCATATTTTTTTTTTTTTTTTTTTACAAAAGCTAGAATATAAACCATGGCCTACTTGCTTAATTTTACCTGGAAATGTTTAAGGTCTGGAAGGTATTACTAGTCCAGTTACATATATTTAAGAAACAGTGTCTTTCTCTCTCTGAACTATCAAAAGCTATTTTGCAAGCAACACTTTCAAAAATTTAGACCATGTTTAATGCTCCTATAACTAGAAATATGGGAGGGGATTCACTAGTCAGGGGTTAAGTAATGTTGCGTGGAAAATTCATTCTCCAATCACAGAACAGTCTACGTTCCCTAGAACATTCCATTTCTCCCAGAATGTGACTACCAATCACACAGTACGTTCTAATACCACCATCTAATCACATTTTGGGCTCACCATAATCCTGAGCTGATTCTTCTTCTTCACTGGCTGCTCTTCTAGTGTCCAAGATCAACTTTATGTTTACAATAACAGTTACCAGCAAGAAAAGGACTGCTCCCATCTGTAAGGCAAAAAGCTTCCTTCGTTAGATTAGAAAAAAAATAGATTTGGAAAACCTGATGCTTAAAACGCCTTCGTGATGAAAACACAGATTTTTATGCTAGACTTAACAGGAAGGACTGGAAAAGTGAATGACAAGAACTTCTTTCTTGAACTTTCCCATTGTTATTTAGGTATGAAATCTAGTTCCTGCTTCCATTTACCTCTATTTTCCTCTAAAAAATTTTTGTCTCATTTTGTGTACTGGTGGGCCTTTCTATCATTGTGCAGCATGTACTTCCTTTATCATGCATAAGAATGAAATAATGGAAAATATCAAGTTTTCTGCAGATTATATCCAGGTTTCTATAGTAAGTAGCCAGCTGTTCATTCCTTAAAACCAAACTGCTGACTTTTGGAGATGGAAATCAATTTTTGGATTAAGTGTCATACGACATAAATATGGAATGTTTTCCATTTATTAATAGAAATAAATAAGTGGCATACAGTTCTTTAAGTGAACTGCATTCATGTACTTTAATAATAGTTGTGACAATAGCAGGTCATGTCATGCATTCATCTGTAACATTCGTTTAATATCAACTTTACAACATAACACTTAAAATATAACACTGATCTCTCACCACCATTCTTTTAGATGACCCTAAAAGAATTTATACCACAACAGGTTCAAAAAGGCTGCCTTCTCTGACAAACTGTGAACAGATTTTAGGGCAGTGAAAACAAGCTACTTGATAGGAATATGGAGTCACAGCATTGGTGCAAACTGCAGCAAGATTTTCTTAGTGGAGCATGCACATTATATTATCCATGAAACAAAAGGCTGTGTAATACGAAGGGACAGTCTCTGAGAAGGGAGCTGTCTGTACAAAACGAGTATGATTTATGCTATTTTCTACCTCAGAGAAAACTGCCAAATAAAGCTCACTGAATTATACCTATAAAGTCAGAATGCCTCTTATTATTCAATCTATCATCTTGTTTCCTCTCTTTTAAGAACAGTCCTAAAAGTAGAGCAACAGTCCCTAGCTTTTGTGAATTATGGATCGATTTTAAATCTTGAAAATGTAATGGGTGGCTACCTGGATGCTAAGTGTAGAAGAAAAGTATCTTGAAGAACATAAGCACAAATAAAGGCAGATCTGAGCCTCAAAACATAAAACAATTCTTTGAAACATCATTTTATGCTGTAGCACCGTAATTGTGTACTACCTACCAAATGACAGCATTAGAAAGTCTTTATAATTGCAACTAAATTCTGTTCCATCACTATGGCAATCAGAAGCTTTTGTTTTCCCAGGTGTATCTAGTGCAGGTATGAACAGGTTTTTATGGATGCTATGTAATGCGTTTTTTTTAACTTCTCTGTGTTTCTGTCTGTATCCACAGAGATCCCATCAATAATCTTAGGACCAAATCACTAATCTTTATCTGTGGATCAGGATTCACATCACATCTAAAATACATTACAGCTGGAAATCAGAAAGATTTAGAGACATTCAATGTATTTCAAATAGCGATATCAGATGGGGATTAAAGGCAGCTTGGACATCTCCAAAGGAATGGGGACAACATTGAAGCCGAGAATCTGGACAGAAGGCAGACACTGGCCAGTGAAATCTCTTCAGATCAAGAAGAGATTGTGAGATAAGCCCATCTGTACTCCAGACAGCTGCTCCTCAGGAGTGAACCGCATGAACAAAAGTTTTTGCAATTAGTTCCTGAGTCAAGCAGCTAGGAGTTGCGGTATTCCATCTTCACTCACAACTGCAATGTAGCCTATGTGGACATTAAATCCAGCCATCCTAATTTCTTAGCCACTTTTGAATATAATTAATATAGAGGTAGATTTTTTCCTTTGCAGCAACCCTGCCCCTTTAATTAGTGTAACTTTTTTTCTGTATTACTAAAATAAAAAATAGTCTAAGATTCAAAGATTCAGAAAATTTTGGCACAAAATGTAACCAACAAATGATTTGAAAAGTTTTTTAAAAATGGACAAAGGGGACAGTAACTTTTATTTTTACTATGCTTATTTTTTGATGAAAATGCTTTTGCATAAACTTGAATTAAGCTAGCCAAATGGATCAGATATTCGTGGGAATGCTTCTGTTTTAAAGTTAAAAATAAGAAGATGTTAATAAAAATTAAAAAATACAAGCTCAAATAGAATTGATAAATAAAATGTGCTTCAAAATTGAGAAGTAAAGCATTTGGGCATTACATTGAAAAAATACAAATTGTTTCTTCATTCTATTACAATGTTTTCCCAAACAAGATGTTCTAAAATCATTTAACTACATGTCCTACAATTCATATGCTTATAGATGCTCAAATTTTCCTAATTTCCTACTGTACACAAGATCCCCCCCTCAAGAAAGCAACTTCTCCTCTACTTAATTTATCTCCACAGAAAAAGAGTATCAGTCTTCCTCTCATTATATGGTAATACTGTAAAGTATGTGACATTTCTACAACATATTGTATGGTGGTATAATGATTAAATCTCTGGTGATGAAGGCACAATGAGCATATAGGTTTCTATGGGAACCTGAACTTGAAGACTCCTGCCTACATGTAGCTAAAGTGTCTGGATCTCCCACAGCACTGACAGCTCTGTATTAAAGTTTCTATTTTAAGACATGGGGATCCAGACAAGATATTGCAATACATTTGTCATGCCTTCCTGACTGCTACACTGTCTCTAGAATGTAGCAGTATGAATTTATTTCCCTTTGCTAGGGAGATAAAATGTCTAAGAAATCCATTATTAGTCACAAATCATCAGTAGTAAATCCAAAACAGAACTGGGAACTGTGTTTGAGAGAGCCATTTCTATCCTGTGTTGTCCTACAATGTTTAATGACTTGGGAGGCCCAGAGCAGTCTACATAAGGAAAAGTGATTTGGTTTCATTATAAGTGAGGGTGTAAACAAAACCCAGATTTCCCCCAGTTCCCTTCAGTTCATTTTTGGGGACCTCGGGTGAGAACATTTGTCTCACATGGAACAACTGGCATACCTGCAGCCTACCTTGCGTCGCACAAAAAATGGCTACTAATCCACCATGGTTTTTGATCACGGCAATCACAACTACTACTGTACATGATTTTCTCCACGAACATTTGCTGAGTTCATGTGTGCATTTATTTCCAAGTATCAATATATGGATCATTTGCACACTAGAATGTATTTTAGGAAGGAAGGAAGGAAGGAAGGAAGGAATCATTTTTTTACTTTATAAAACCTTACCCTTTCCTTGAAAAATCATAGCCCCCACCTCATAAATCTGCCCACTAAGGTCCTCAATGGTTTATGCACATTACTAAAAGTAAAACAAAACACCAAACCAGACAGTAGCCATAATAGGATCTTGTATCAGAAATAGCTCCAGTGATTTATCTCAGTGCACCCCTAGGGTTTCAAGTGGATAAATCAATTAATGAATACTTTAATTGTTCGTAGGTGTTAAATTATGAACTGCTGCTCAGCCAGTACTGCAGCTTTGATGTACGTGAATATATCCTAACAAAAAAGGAAATGATCAATCTGCTTAAATGAATTAATTATTGTCCATATCCAATGGCATGGACATTTCTGCAAGTGTTAATAGGGTCCTCAGCAGGCGCTTTTGCCCATCCTATTCCCTGCCAGCCAATGTACTTGGGTACCAAGTTGCTTTGCCAAAAACAAAAGAACAAAGAACACCCCAGATTATGCCCGGCTTCCAATCTCCTTTCATATGCAGCACCACCTTAACCATCACTTCTGAATAAGGCATAATTGGCTTGGTTATACATACTACAATACACCCGAGTGTGTGTATTGCAATCTGTAACAGACCAATTCAACTGTTTGGTTAAAACAGTTACAGTTAAAAAAGCACTGCACATAAGTTTTAAATGTATCAATATACAGAGATAAATCACATGCAAAGGTGGAGGCAAAGACAATTCTTTGTTCAGAAAGACAGTAGAAACTGGATACGTTGTAGTAACAGCAGGTTTCAGTGAATCTACAAAAAAGTTCAGCCTAGATGCAGATAGGAAGCTTCTGTGAAGCACAGATATCCTCTAAGGCAGACATGTCAAACTCGTGACGTCACGTGACATCACGCAACGTATTGGGAGAGTTTTGCCATTGCTGGCAATGGGGTGGGCACAGCTTCCGTGTGACGCGTCCGGCCTGCGGGCCGGCAGTTTGACACGCTGCTGTAAGGCAACCTCAGTTGTTCTGGATTTAAAATGCTAGCACATCTTCCCCAATGTTCTGAAAATGCTGGTGGAGAATTTACAGTCCAATGCATGTAGAAATCGTGCTAAAATAGGATTTGTAGCAAGTGGGATGCAAATTATTATGTTACAAAAGGATCTTCATTTCCCCTGAAGTGAAGTTGTCTCTAACCATTTTTGCTCTTTGGAAAGGCCTCAAAACATGTGTTTGTTTTTTTTATCAGCCTGAAAATCTCCTGAACCAAAAAGAACATACCAATTCTATCCTTGTGATCTTATTTATATTTACTTATATAAGTATTTTAAGTGATTTTATTATATGTTCTAATTCTTGATTTTTATTGTACTCTGCCTAGTCGTCTTGTCTGAGATGGGTGAACATATGATTTTCTTCAGATATCTTTGTCATTAGTGGTGAAAGAACCCTAAGGGAACACATTGTTTTCAGGCTTGCATGGAAACCTGAAAAATGCTGGATAATTTAATTCATCCTACAGACTTCTGTTCTTGTGTATGGTCTGAAAAGGTCCAAATCCTTTTCAAAGCATGCACGGACATACCATCCAAAATGGACACAGCTTATGTATTATAGTTATCAGAGGTATCAGTTTCTAAATGTTTAAAAAACCCTTTATTATAGCTTTTTAAATTTTTAATTCAAAGTGCATGCAACTGGCCTTTAGACCGAAAAATAAACTAAATAGAAAAAAAATAGTAGGTGAGTGTCCCAAAGAAACAAATTCAGGCGATCATATGATCTTGTCTGATACATTAAAAAGATACAAATGCCTTAATGTACCATGCTGAGTAATTCTTACTGTAACATGAGCTTTCATGGCCCTGCACTCTTGCCTGAATAACAGTTTGCATTATAATAAGGATCTGCTAGCTTGCAAAATCCTACACCATCCTGCCTTTCCAAAGCAACGCATCCATTTGTGTAAATATGCTCTTGAGGCTATATAAAGAATATCACCTCCACGTGATTCCATTTCAAGGATTACAGTTCCTTGAACACTGTAATCCAGAAGTATTTAAAAGCAAAGATCTTTGCTAATCACCTTACCAGATATAATGCTCCCCATTGCCAAGATTATCTAAACAGAAAGGGGATGTAAGTTGGGGCCTCTTCTCACCTGACACAGTCTCCTGAGCGCCCTCTGATTTGTCAACTTGTACTTCCAGGCCAGGTACCAGCTGCGTTTCTTCCACGGCTTGGGTTGTGGATTAGGCTTCCATTCATCCATCACAGCAGGGCAAAATAGACAGCAGTGGATAACATGAGGTAACTCTCACCATCTGCTCTTCTCTAGTTGGACTCTTCAAGTTAAACCTGGCAGGATAAGGAAAACAAATAAAATGGAAGCCTGGAAGGAAGTACTTGGTCATATTTAGGTTCAAATGCCTGAGAATGTCACTATGTTTTTGCTGATTTTTTTAAACCCCCAAGTTTGCACAAATATTTAATTAACATAATTTATTCTGGGCAGCACACTTGGAAGTTTGCAGGATGTAATGGTATGACAAGGACAGACTGGACAATGAATTCTTTGTCAGGCAAAACTAAAAGGAGAATGAAGACTGTTGAATAAGGAGCCAAGCAAAGGACCTTGAGTTTTATGCCACATTTCAATAAAATCCTATTATATTCATATTACGTACATATATGTGCAATCCGCACCCCAGAAAATGTACTTTCAGATAAACAGAACTTTCTGTAGAAGATGGAGACAGCAGAAAATGGAAGGGGGAAGCAAGATCTTAAGAGGCATTCAGAAAATTTTGTCCCATTTCCATTCTCAAAAAGATAAAATAAAATTAAGGAACCAAACATGCTACATGGGGGCTGTTCTAAGTTTACAATGCTTGTTAAAGAGACCAGATCTAGCTGGCTCTGAATTTCCCATACAGAACCATCCTGCCAACATTGTTAAGAAAAGACTTCTATAAATTGCCTTCTGATCCAGATCTCTATAGATAAAACTGGATCACGCATCAAAGTAATATTATAGATTTTTCATCGTTTAGAGTCAGCAAAAAAACTTCATTACTCAAAGGATATTTTCTAGACTAGAGGATATATTTTTTTCTATTAGCATCCTCAATCTACCACCATTTACCATATTCTTTACTTCAAATCCCACGAAGCTTTTAGTCACTCATCGACATGCTAGCCAGGCATTCTAAGAATTATAGGGGCAACATTTGTTTTATACTACCCATAACTTTCCAACCCTTCTCACAAATTACCCAACCCAAAGCAAGTTTATATCAGAGTTAGATTCATCAAAGAAACGTGCTACGCACGCCGCCTGGGGCTCTTGAACAAAAGGCGGATTAAACGTTCAGCAAATAAACAAGCAGAATTCCCAACGCAGGTGGTGTGTGTTGGGGAGAGAAAGACAGCATTGGCTACCAAAGAAAGGAGCCGGGCACCCTACAATTGTCTCAAAACAAACCCCTCTATCAGCCGCCCGTAAATAAAGGCGGAGAGTAAACGAGACGGATTTGGAAGCGCGGAAAGGGGAACGAATTAAGGCGGATGAACCGGTTTCCCCAGAAAACAAACGGAAGGGGGTGGATGATGATGATGATGATGATGATGATGCAAAATGAATCACAGAGTCTGGGAAGGTGGGAAGGACCCCCCCACTCCGCCCCCGATTCCCAAGCGAATCCCCCTCATTTTCACACCCCCTGCCGCTCTCAAGAGACGCGGATCCACTTACTGACACGGAGCCCCGCCAGGCCAACAACGGAGCTTTCTCCGTAGCCGGGCGCCGCACGCAGAAAACTCCAGCCGCCCCTGCACGAGCGCGGGTGGAAACAGCTGCCGATCCCCCTTCTCCGAGAAGCTGAAATTCACGCGCCGCTCTGCTTCCGGCGCGGGATATAAGGTTAGAAAGCCCGGTCTTAAAGGAGACGGCTCAAGTAAGGCAACTAAGCCAGGTTGGGGAGAAGGAACGGAAGGCGGAGCGGCTGGAAGAGGAGGCGAGGCCTCTGCTTTTCAATTCGGGTTGGCGGCGGCAACAACAAGCAGCTGCAAGGAAAAGAGCCAGCACGGCGCAAAATGTGATTGGTTATCTCAGGTGCCTATTAAAGTTGGGGGACTTCTTTCGAAAGAGGGCGCGGGGGGCGGGAATACTTCAGCCAGCTCTGTCGCTCTCGCTCTCTGTCGGTGAGATGGGAGCTCGTTCCCGGCTGCTTCGCCTCCCGCGGCCGTGTGGAGAGCAGACGCGCATTGGGCTCTGAAGGAGACGAGGGGGGGGGGGGTGAGAAGAGCCGCTTTCCCTCGACTTGGCCTGCATTGAAGCCGGGGTTTTCCCAATACAGATACCGTCGGAGGGAACTGATGGCCCTCCAGGCACACACACACACGCGCGCGGTCTCGCTCGCTTACGCAACAGCTTTCGAGATGGCCGTCTGGAATCCCCTGGGTTTGGAGAACCCCGGCGGGCGGATTTCGAGGACTTCCTTCCGGAAGGCTTGCGCTTCGCGTGACGCTTTTATGTGGCTGGATCGGGATCTGTGACTGAATGCCACGAGTGAGGTTTATAGATCCATCTTTTATGCCCTGGTGTTGTAAAGGTACCAAGTCAGTGTTGCTTGTTCAACAAACATGCTTCTGCCAAGGCACTTAGTATTGTAAATGAAGCCATACTTCCTCGATTTTTAATTATTAAACTATCTATAAAAGGGTGCCCTTCTTTGCCTCCATCTCAGATTAATATGACCTGATCCAAATCCTCCCTCGGATGGTGTTGAGCCGCTGAAGAGATGTGAGAACTGAGCTAATTACCAAAGGAGGAGAATATTTGTAGCTCAGGGTTCAATTATGGGGTCCTTGGTGCTCTCTAAGCTTGATTGTTTTCTTGCAGATGTTTCATTATCAAACTAGGTAATATCAGTGCACCTAGTTTGGTAATAGAACATCTGCAAGAGCATGAAGGACCCCACACTGAACTAAATTGATATAAGCAGGCGCACAAAGGAATATATCTTATATTAGGTCATCACTAGTTCCAGGGCATAACTTCTGTATACTGACAGTGGATTTCACCACCAGTTTATTGCTTATTCTTTTAAGCCAGGACCCAAATCTTCAACCAGCCTAACCAACAGCTCCAGGTTGGGAAAGGGTTTGATGAATAAATAAATGCTGGCTGCTACATGTCACATAATGTTAAATAATTGATTGCTGCTATATATTAGCAATCAGATGGTGTCAAATTCTGACAGCTATATATGTCAGATAGGATCAGGATGCTATAGTCTCTCAGCCATCAGGGACTTTCAAAAGTTGGCTGATAGTGGTACATCTTTGCAAGTCAATACTAGGGCTGAATACAAAATTTTAGCTGGGGTGTTGCATTTGTTGCAAATTGTTGCATTTGGCAATTATTTGGACAATATGATCATTGATGTTGATTTAGTTTGCTATTTAATTCTGTACAATGGAGGAGATAGAGAAATTCTGAATAGTTAACATGAAGCCTTCTGGCAATGTCTTTTATTTGTTAAGACTTCTCAGATATATTGCATGGGCATATAGTACTCCCCTTCAGCTAACTCATAATTCCTGGTAGATATGCGTTTAATGAATCTGTAATTCTTTAAACAAATCCTTTCTCTTGAACTTGGGCTAGTAGACCTACAGACTGAAGATGTTAGATACACCTTACCTAGGGTGCAAAAATCTAGATGACCAGGAGATGACAGCAAAGACATGCAGAAAATTCTGTTTCTTGCCATTAAGCTGCTATCCAGCTTAATAACTCTGCCTGAACTCAGGATATGTTAAATTGGGTAGATCATTGTAGTTGCTTAATTTAATATTATGGGAAATGGGGAAAATATTTAGTTCATAATTTTTATAGGGTCTCTTTGGTGTTGCCAGGTAGACAAACCAAAAGTATATTTAAGCATTTTCCCAATAGCCTTGGGGAGACAAGGAATTGAATACAGGAGAGAGTGAATAGGCTACTGCAAGAGAGATAAATTGCTCCATTTGTCCTTTCACCTGGTTCAAGCCAAGAAAACTGCTAGTGGAAATTCCCCTCCTTTGTTTCCAGCATACAAATGTACCCCAAGTACTACTGGAAGAGTCCACTCATTCTCACTCACTATGGCAACTACTGTGTTTCCCTGAAAATAAGACCTGATCTTATATTTTTTTTTGCCTCCAAAAGAGGCAGTGGGTCTTATTTTCGGGGGATGTCTTATTTTTTTCCCAACACCTGCCCCACCTTGCTGCAGCGGCACCTACAGCCCCATCCAGCAGGAGGCCGTGTGGCCGCTGGCCCATTTCTGTGGTCACTTGCAGCTCCTTGCAGCAGGAGGCCACATGGTCCAGTGCACCGTGCCGCCACCACGAGATGAGGCAGGTGGGGGAGGGGGTGGAGCTGCCTCAAGGGCCCCATAGGTGCCCAAACACTTTTAGCCCAGAGGGAGACTGGAAACTTCGTCTGCTTGCAAATGGGGCTCCTGGGAACGGAGCGATTAGCCCTATTTCAAAGCACCCATTTGCAAGCAGATGAAGCTTCCAGTCTCCCTCTGGGCGAAAAGTGTTTGGATACTTATGGGGCATTTGGAAATGGGGCGCTTTTCGTCCAGCCGGAGAAATGACGGAGACTGGAAGCTTCGTCTGCTTGCAAATGGGGCGTTTGGAAATGGGGCTAATCGCTCCATTCCCAAGCGCCCCATTTGCAAACAGATGAAGCTTCCAGTCTCCCTCTGGGTGAAAAGTGTGCAGCACATCTGGATCACCTATCTCTCCCCCCCCCCACCTCTGCCTCTGTGCTCAGACTTACTTGCGTTGTGCCAAGGGGCTGGAGGGCTGCAGCTGCTGCCAGACACCATTGGCCCCCGCACGCTTGCCACTGCTTGTGCTGGCCATGTCCACTTCCCAGGCTTATTTCTGGGGTAGGGCTTATATGAGGTGCACCCCAAAAAATCAGGCTAGGGCTTAATTTCGGGTGGGTTTTATTTTTGGGGAAACACTGTAATGTGCTTCTGAAGACTGGTAGCACACATGTTGATCCATTTAAAAGGCTGTAACACTTTGCATAGGGCCTGTGCACCTAAAAGCACAGATGGGCAAAAGTGATGGGTTGAATCATTTTGTAATAAAAGTAGATGGCTATCTCATGGAGAAGCAGTTTTGCGCCACTAAGTGGCAGCATAATGGCACGGGTAAACAGAAGCAGGGTGATTTAGTTCATGGGAAAATATTTTACTAAACACAGTC